AGGGCAGTCAATCAAATGCATTCCAAGGAAGAGAAATGCATCGCCAAGCACTTGGTCACCAAAGGATTGAACAAAGGACGAGCGACAAGCCGAACACCAAGAAAAACCAAGAAGGCTTAACATTAATCAAACAAGGAAAAGACAAAGTTGGCTTATAACCAACTACCCGATGAAGATGACGAGGTCGCTAAATTGGAAACCGGACCCGACCTACTGAAGGGAAAGAACATACGAGAGTCTTGACTCATCTAGAACTCGTACTTAAGGATCAATAACACTGTACGATGGGTCATCCTATGTATTCGAGTCCCTTTTATTATGCACATGGGCATGGGGCTTGTCGGGACTGGAATCTGTGTATTCTTGGGATTTTTCCCGAAGGAATTCACCCTTCATAGTCACCTTCCCACGGGTCCCCAACGGGACCTTGATGGGACCCCAACGGGTCCTTGACGGGACCTTGACGGGGCCCTGACAGGAGCTTGGCAGGCGGACGACCGCCCACCTCGCGCCCACTGGTATAATGTGCTGATTTCTTAACTCCTCATTTTATTGATTCATGGCGCACTTGTGTGCCTCGATTGATGAACGCGAGTCTTGGGTAAGGAACCATGGGTCGCCCAAACATGGTGTCATCGGTAAAAGACCTTGACACACAAGACACCGTCGGAAAAGCACAACTGATTGCATTACACGTGGAGTTGAAGTTGGACTCTACGATGCAACCGACTAGGGATGATTGGCATAAAAGATTGTGCAAACCAAGGAGGCGAGTTGGGAACTCGTGCTAAGGACTCACAAAGGCCTTACAAGTCAAAATGCTAAGGATGGACTGGGACTCCTTCAAACCATGGATATCGTTCAAGCAAATCAGAGGACTCCTTACAAGTTGTATGGAATCAAGAGCGACGTAGTCCGTGGTGCTAGGCAAAAAGTAAAGAGCACATTTGTGCCAAGATCTCAAGGGTCATTAAGGACCCACAAGGAAATGAGATGACTCGTAAACTCATCGTGTCATTCCACAACGAGATTAGGTAACCAACTGCGCTTCAAGAAGAAAAAGATCATGCAAGGACACCTTCATCATTAAAAGTAACACAAAAGGGCACAACAAGCCGAACCTCGGGGAAGACATGAAGTCTTACTAAGAATTTCATTCCCTAAAGAGGAGATGAAATTCAATAAGGAGAGCAAGTCAACCCAAAGTTTATCAACTCCCAAGAAACTTTGGGAAGAATTTGGGAAGTGCGCCCTAAGAGATTGGCTTGGTTGACCAAGCTTGGTCAAGACCTTGGACGCATTAAAGAAGTAAGTGTTAAATCATCACGGGAGATTCCCTCAAGATAGGAGAGAAGGACGAAACTTTAGCCTGGGAAGCAAGGTCTAACAAGGATCTTAAAGTCAAGCAAGTGCCAACACCAAGGAAGAAGGATCATCAATTCGTCAAATACGTCGTGATCAAAGAATCAAACCAGAATAGTCACTTAAGATCGAGAACCCTTAACCCATCCTAGCCGAATTCCTTTCCCTCCCTCGGAAAATCGGCCCCCCTCCTTATTTCAAAACCCTTTCTACCCTTCAAACCACATTCTTGATTCCCTATTTTAACGATTCCATACAAGGTGGCAACCTCACACCCTAAGTTGCAACCTTGAAAACTTTGATCCTAATTCCTGAATCCACTTTATCCTCAAGTTTGAAACTCACTCTCTTAATCCATTTAACCCAATCGTTCCCAAAAACCCAGTACACATAGATATACTATTATATATTCTCCCCATAGAAAACATTCTCTCTATATGATCACCATATTACTTTTGACTCGTTATCCCTGAAATGATTTCTAAGCTTCGGGGACGAAGCTTCTCGTAAGGGGGGAGAGTGTAACACCCCGTGTTACGGCCTTCAATCTCGGATTAATTATTTAATTAATCCCGTTAATAATAATTAAATATGATTTAATTCGGTTAGGTTTCCCTTTAATTAATTAATAAAGGCCCACCATGAACCGTGGACCGTTGCCTAAATTAGAGTCTTAAGCCTACTAGGAATAAAGAAAGTAAACCTTTTACTATTCAGATTAAGATTAGGATTCTCTTTAATTAATTAATATGGTCCACTATGGACCATGGACCCTTATCCCTAAAACAAGCCCTTAGTCCTATAAGGAATAGAATTAGTAAACCCATACCATTCAGGCCCTAATTAGGAGTCTTAAATATATAAATAGGGATATAGGAGGCACCTAGATCTTTCACCACAATAATCTCTCACCACACAAGAAGTTCCAAGAATCCCCTTAGGAGAAATCAAGAAAGAAGAAAGCTTAAAGAAAGATCCTTCATAGCCAAGGAATTAATTAAGGCTAAGAGGTAACCCATGTCTCAACAAAACCTATTTTCATAGCTATGATTCCCATCTTAGGATTTCCCCATATTATTGTGTATTGATGAATTGTGATAATATTATTGATGATTGGTGGGATGATTCCATGGGTGATCTTGATGATGAGAGGTTCTTGATAATTATGGGGTTCTTGATGATTATATGACGTTCTTGATAATTATATGGTGTTCTTGATGCTCTTAATGATTATATGAGGTTCTTGATAATTATATGATATTCCTACCGAATCTTGATTTTGGAAGATGAATTGTGTTCTTGTTGATTTAAAAATAATTAGAACCCTAGGTTATATCGTGGAATTCGTATGGTATTATTCTTGGTATATTGGGTGGGAATTCGCATGATTGGGTGTTGATTATGTTTAGAAAAGCATGATAGGTTATGTGCCATATGTTTCTTGATTTTGATCCGTTAATTGTCTACGTGTGTTATCAATTGCGTTTGAAAGTGTCTAAGCATGGTTTCGGGTTCCACAAAGGTTCCCGGGGCGTTTTTGGTGAAAAAGAGTCAGTGGGGGGTAGGGGACCCGCCACCTACCCGCGGCCTATTTGGGCAACGCCGGCAGCGGGCAGCCGGGCACCCGCTGCCCGGAACAGTGCCGCCGGCGGGTAACCCCTCACCCACCGGCTACCCGCTGGTTTGTACCCCACCTTGGGATTTTGGCTTCCCCGTTTGATGTTCCCCCGACCCCCGTGGTGTCCCAACGGACTCCGTCTATCGTGCCTATGTCTAGTTTGATATTTCGGGTACCGTTCGTAGGTTGTATGAGTCTTATATATTGCATGCTAGTTGAATTGGTATCCCGTTGACCTAGGTGAAAGAAGTATGAACCCCTTAGGATTATTCTTAGTATGTGAAGGATCACGCATAGGTTTTGTTATACGTTTTCTCCCCCTTCCCAATGTGTTAATGTGGGTTGCATGTGCTTGCTATGTGTTATGTGTGCATGTTACCCCAATTCGGTTGCGATCGGATTAGTTATTCCTGAGCTGTGGTTCAGAAGCTGGCTGTGGTCAGATTTATACTCTTGGGTTGCGGTCCACCGTTTGGTTGCGATCAAACGTTTCTACATGAGCTGCGGTTAATATTTCCTGGCTGCGGTCAGATTACATACTCTTGGGCTGCGGTCCACTGTTTGGTTGCGATCAAACTATGATGAACTACGGTTCATCGGTCGGTTGCGATCGACCCCTCCGTGTTGCGATACGGGGCAGGGTGCTGCGGGGTCGTGTCAGAGCTATATGCGCTGACCCTCATGTATGGGCATGCGATTGGTCCTGTGGCGCCAACAAAGTGTGCTTGTGTGATGAGATATGGGCGAGTTGTTGTTATGAGTGTCTTGGGGATGTGACTATGGGATTTAAACTGGGAATCGTATATGTTGGGTTATGGTTATTAATTGTGCTTATCTTTATCTGTCTTGCCTGTTTGTAAACTGTATATGCTTGGTATAACTGTTGTCTGTGCTTAGCTCTATCTGTCAAGTCCATCCCTGTTTTAAAAGCTAGAGTCTCGTAGGATATATCCTCATGCTTCAAAATGGTTTTCGTATATCTATATATATGTCTATATGTATTGTATTTCAACGCGTTGGAGTGGGTTACCAACATCTCTCGCTGAACAGATATATTTGGTTTTCAGGCACAGAGGAGTAGACACTGGAGCGCTAGAATCTTGGAGCGTAGAAGTAGATAGTTTCCCTTTCGGCTTGGGTGCCATGTTTATGCATTTACATTGTTGAGGATATTAGTTAGTTAGCCTGTGCACCTGAGTTCTCTAGCTCAGGTGTGGCATAGCACCCTGTACTATTTATATTATGTTTTGGGATTTAATGAGAGCTTACCTCTATTATATAAGCTTCAAAAGTTTAAAAATTTCGGGGTGTTACATTCATGTTTGATGGTGTTTGCGAGAGTGACCGCCAGAGAAAGGAGGAAGAAGAAGCTAACGAAAAGATCATTTTAGCCCCTATATTAACACCTAACAAACTGTTCTTTTAATGGAAGGACTAATGCTGGAACAAATCTGATAGTTAAGGGTCTATTTTGTCCAAATTAATAGACGAGGATTAATTTTAAAAAATCGCAATCATCGGAGGACCATTACTGGAATTAACTCTTACAGGGCGCTTAGTTGGGAGTAAGGAATTAGGGTGGAAAGGAATTGCAATTTGGTGGGAAAAGAATAAGGTGGAAATAAAGTAGGAATTCAAATTACATTGTTCGGTAGGGATGAATAGAATTATTGGGTAGGGAATGAAAGAAGTGATATAAAGACTAAAATGTTCTTGTGTAATAATAATAGTAGTAATAATTAAGGGTACTTTTGTCATTTCATTCCTTTTTCCTTTTCCCACAACCACCGAATTGCAATTCATAGGAAGGTGTCCATGAATTACAATTCAGCAAAAGGAAGGAATTGTAATTCTGTGGAATTACAACTCCTTCCAACCAAACAGTGTAATTGTGACTTCCAGTGAATTACAATTCAACTATAGTCAAATTACGCTCAACCAAACAGGCTATTAGTAAGAATTAGACATACAGACCAAAATTATCATTTTGGCTTATACTCTGTGACCAAAACTGGTATTTGCTCATTCTGGAAACACCAAAAAATCAATCACACTCTCTTAAAATTCATATTCTCGAGAATCAAGAACTATACGCAACAAGAGACAATTAGTGTAGTAGTGTAGTTGTCCCCTACATGATCTCATCGTCATCGACGAAGAAAAAGTCAGACAATACAGCAGGAGTCGCTAATCCAAACGGACAGCCATGGAAGCCATTCTGCGAAATCCAGACCCATCTTCGCTCGCTTCAGTCTCTGGCGTTAATCCTCGACGCTGCTGCAACCGCCTCGCCCATGTCCGGGTTCCCACTGAGGGTTGGGTTAGCCGAAGGAGGAGTAGGAGTAGGTTCTCCGTGTCCTTGACTATCAGGGCGGTTCAAGATTCGACTACGATAGAGGAACTGGATCCTTTTGAGTTGAAGCTGAAAAACCCGGCCATCTCAACTTCGTATCGGAATCCCGAGCTTCACGAGCCGAATCAGACCGTGTTGGATGCTCAGGCTAAGGTCTGCACCGGCCCGACCCAAACCAGACCTCTCAACGAAGACCAAGCATTCAAAGTCTTCCAAACCATTCTAAAATCAGGTAATTCCACTGAATGTTAGTAATTATTTTCTCCAATTTTTCTTGAATTTGTAACTGCAAAGTCTGTCTTTTGATTTGAACAATTATATAGAATAGGGAAAATTGCATATTTTGTCCTTCTTATACCCATTGTACAAATATATGCTTGATCATCTTTTATGCATGAAGTGGCGATTTAAGTCTCTTGGGGCTATTTTTACCACCAATTTGTCAAGTGGCTGATTTGGTCCTTCAACTACTAAAATCACCATATGCATAACTTAACTTAGGGGTTAAAGACGGTCACACATATAACTTAGGACTAAGTCTGTAGCACGGGTATAACTAGAGGATCAAAAAATGCAATTTTATTTTCCCTATCGAATATGCAAAAGTAGTTTTGAAGTTGTTTTAAAATGGTAGCTAAGGGAGGGCTGAAAGATGAAGAGGCAGTATCAAAAGCACAACTTGGGGCTTTTTTTGCTGGAATGACTATTAGAGCAAATACCTTTCCGGAGGCAACACAATGGAGTGATGGGGAAAGGCGAGCTATGGATGTTTTTTGGCCCCAGTTGATTCGGGTGCTCCCTCCGGATATTATCTTTATAGCTGATCCGGAAGGTTCATTAATGGGAATTGGCAGCTCAATAGGTCCCCGGTTTGTTGGGAATAACACTTCTGAAATGAGACTAGTGGGCGCCTTAAGGGAAGTTTTGGCTGGAGGTCATCTTGGATATGAGGAGGTTCAGGGTGTTCTGAAAGATGTTCTTCCCCTGCAAATGGAAGAGGGTGCATTGTCGGGTGTGAGAGAGTCATTGCTTTCAGCATTTCTGATAGGGCAACGCATGAACAGGGAGTCGGATCGTGAGCTGAAAGCTTACTGTCTTGCATTTGATGATGAACTAGGTAATGCCTTTCTGTAGCAAGGACTTGGTATTGGCTTCTTACTCGAGTTTTGATAATTGACATGTATGTATCGAGTTAATTTAACTTATGAAAAATGCCAGGCCCTGCACCTGTTGCTGATGTTAACTCACTCACCCATTACGGTGAACCTTATGATGGAAACACCCGCTATTTCAGAAGCACACTATTTGTTGCTGCTGTTAGATCCTGCTATGGTGAATCTTGCTTGCTCCATGGTGTGGATTGGATGCCACCAAAGGTAATTTTTCTTTGAACAGTTTATTTTGAATGCTTTACCCTTTTACCTTTACACATGCCATTCTTAAAATTTTCTTATAATAAAATTAGTCCTTGATTGTGACAGGAGACAGGAACTAATTTCATTAGAAAGAGAAATAATTCTTTGAAAATGGGGCATAGCTTTGAGTTGTTGCTATTGTTGAAAGAGAAATAAGACTGACTAAAGTTCTAGACATAGGAAAGCATCTTAGGGTGTTTATGTATATTGTTCATCGTAATCTGAAATTTGTTGCTATATTCAGGGTGGTGTCACTGAAGAACAAATGCTGAAGTTCATGGGTGCATATACCCAGTTATCACCATTGCAAGCCAAAAAGCTTCTCGAGGTTGTTTTCCAGGGTGTTTATGTCTATTATTCAAACAATCTGAAAGTTGCTATATTCAGTATTTGTCCTCCAAAAATTTTGGCTTTTTTGACCTCTTCTCTCTCCCACCCTTTTGTATGTAAACATTCAGTACTAGCGTTTAATGCATCGAAGTTGTTTTCCAGGACGACAAGGTTGGTTTTGCTTACGTAAGTCAGCGTGAAGCCCGTCCATCTTTGTGCGTAAACTTAATACTATCTCAGCAATCAATTTTATTTCTCTTCCTTAATGGAAATTATTCTGATTTGGCTTATCTAATTAGATGTGAATTGCCTATTTGTTTCTTGTTGCTTAATCTCCTAATAATGCAGCAAATAATATCACTCATATTATCTCGCAGACATTCTTTAGTTGGATTGAGGGAACATATAAAGAAGCGCCCACCATTGGCAACTTCAGAAAAGGTTCAACAAATTGTAAGGGTAAGATGAATCTTAAATCATTGAATTCCAGTACATTTGAATCTCAGTTAAACTGTAGTTTTGAGTTCTCAAACAATATATTGGCATTCCAGAATTCAGTAGCTTCAGGAAAAGCATTGTGTTGTGATAGAATATATTATTATTGATGAAAACTCTTGTACGGAGTACATAACAATGACTCATAAAGACCCTTTTTATATGGATTGCATGTAATCATATTCTAACTAGAACTCTAACACATAGTTCTACTCACACTCCACCGGTGGAATTGTAATTTCAAGGTGAATTACTATTTTTCCCTCTTTATTATTATTATTATATTATTACTATTATTATACAAGGGCATTTTAGTCTTTATTTACTTCTTCCTTTTCAATTCTCAATCATTCTATTCCTGCCTACCAAACAGTGTAATTTGAATTCCTACTTTATTCTTTTCCCATGGAATTACAATTCCTTTTCCACCCTAATTCCCTCCTTCCAACCAAATGCCCTGTAAAACTGCTTTGTGAAAGGACTTGGTTGGGAGATTGCCCAATCCAAAACCACCCTCCTGACTGTCTTTACTACTTTTTATCAGTTGTTTTAAGAACTCTTCTAAGATTTGCTACTGTGATTTATCTTCTTATTAGGCACAAGGAAAGGAAGCAATTGTTGCCAGCTTTTATCATGAAGGTTATGAAGAGCCACTACTAATGCTTATGAGAAGGAGAGGTGTTCATTCTGGTTTAGTGGTGAAGGTATGTAAATCTCCGAAGCTCCGTTACCCGACTCCCTTGTTCCAGGGGCTGTGTTGCCCTTCTTAGTTCTCAAAGGCCAAAGCTTCCAGCTTCTGTTATTAATATATCTGACTTGGAAAATATAACCATGGCAGATTTGGACTTCTAAATATGTCCTTTCACTAAGATGATTGATTAGTTGAGCAACTTCAGAAATGGAATTTGAAAAAACATACATAACTTATCGTGATGATTCAATATTCAGGGAGAGGAAGGTGCACTGTCAATGACCACTAAATCACGATCAGTAAATGCATCAAAGGGTTTACCGGTGAATTACTGTTCAGGATTTCGTTCAGCAAATAGGACACCTGCTAATGTAGCTGATGGTATGTGCTTGTTACTAATTTTATTACTTTTTATTTATTTATTTTTATTATTTTTTTTTTTTTACGACTACAATCTAACCCTATCTAGGGTAACTGTTCCACAATATGCCAACCCTTGAACTGTGATGGGACTCAACCCTGTGACCTTCCATTTGAAATGGTAACAGTGATGCCATCAAACCACAAAGTACTTGGCTCTAGTTTATTAAGAGCGAAGTGATAAGTTTTCCTAATTGATTATCTATAAAACAGATCTGTATCCTTAATGACTGAGATTTTATCTTCTCAAAGTATGTTGAAATGTTGTATCTGAACTAAAAAAATTTGTAAACTGATTGTATCTTGGTTATCTCGATGCACTCCTGATCTTATAGTTCGTGTTATGTTATTGCAGGTGTATCACGTGAGAGTTTTAAATTTGTGGTGAACGCAGAGAATTATGGCTTTGAACCCACTGATACTCCAAGAACTGATAGATCGGTATGGCTCCATGTATTTCTCATTTTGAATGTTTTACATGTTGCCTATGTTTGGTGAAACTTTGCTGTTGACTTCAAAGTTTTTTGGAGTATTTAATACAAGTTTTATCTGCTTCAGTGATATCTTAAACTATGATTATCTGCTTTCTTTAATTTTTATATATCTTATTTTCTCCAGTTATTAGTACGTGATATATTTTGCCTTTGAAAGAGTGGAATTTGTTCTAGTTGGAGAAAAGGTTTGATTTGGTTGTGATGGTTGAGCACAACGATGCACATTTGAACTTATCTATGGAAAATGTTAATTGTATTCCCAAGAGTATTGATTGGATGGAACTAACAGCATGTTTGGTTCACGGAATGAATTTTGAGGGAATAGGATTGTTATTCCATAGGGAATGGAATAGGCAAGGAATAGAACATGAATTGTATTCCCGGGAATAGCTCATTCCCACGAACAAAACAAATTACCAAACAACGGAATAGGCTTGTTCCTGGGAATGTCATTCCATTCCACTATTCCAGGGCTATTCCGTGAACCAAACATGCTATTAGAACTAAAAGAAAATAAAGCGAGCCATTCCTTAGAGCCAATAATCAATTAACAGATTAGGGGATAGGGAGGTAAACGGGAACATGTGTAGTACAACTCCTTACCAATAGTAATTTGCCAATTTGGGGTGGGAACTAATAAGTTTTGAACAGCGGCAATTAAACACATATAACTTTCCAGCAGCTTAAAGACAAAAATCTAAAGGTGAATGATAGTAAGGTTTACACACTTGCGAAACATTTCAGGTTGCAAGGAATGTAGAACTGGGTTTAGCTGCTTTACGAGGTGAGAAAGGTCCAGCATATGATCGAATCGTCTTGAATGCTGGAATGGTTGACCATTTCCTTGGATGTGAAGGTGCCGAAGACATGTCTGCAGCCCTGGATAGAGCAAGAGAGGCCATAGATAGCGGTAATGCCTTAAAGCGACTCTTGAGGTACATACAGATATCTAATAGAGTGCGATGAAAGTTGATGCATACAGTGGTGAACATTCTTCCGGTTTTTTGCTGCACCTTATGTTCCATTCATAAACCATGTACACTTTGTTTCACAACTATGAAAATGAGAAAATCATAGTTACATATTTTGTTTTTTTTGTAAAGTAGGTTCTCTCCACTTTGTTGTCAACCTACAAACACGTTTCTGAGTTTTTGACAAAGATGTAAGTTGTTTCAGGACAGGTTGAATGCAATTGTTACACCATGGCCATGGTTCATATTGCATTGTGAATCTTGATACAAAAATTCTGCACTTTTAGTTAACACATTCTGTATCTATAGTTAACAGTTTTTGTACATGTAAACAAATAACTTGATAATTGCTGACACATAATATGATAGCTACAGATACAGAAACTATCAACTGCAAGTACAGAATGCGTCAACTATAAATATAGAATCTTAAGGTTATTTTTGGACCAGTGTGTACAATGCAAGGTAGACTCTGCCGGTTGAATGGCGTAGAGCTTATGTTATTGTTATCATGCTTAAGTCCCGGTTTCATTCTTTAGTGAATACAGTGTCTGCAGTTGCTAAAGAAATTTTTATGAAACATTTACAAGCATCAATTTATTTTACTATTGAATTGATGATTACAGTGAATATCATTTTAATATTTTAGTATTTTCACCCGTGCGATGCACGGAATTGATTTGTTATAATATATTAAAAATATATGGGTCGTTATATAATTATTTAAATTATAACATCAAATATTATATAGTGCAATTGAAGATATGGTATGGATCGTTTATGTTTGTTGATGTTATCATTGTTTGAATTCGAGCAAATAATTGTTCAAATTAATAGCTAATGTGTAGAAGTACGCATGCGGTGTTATAACTTTAAAGATTTTATATATTATTGTTTAAGATTTTTATAAATTAGACAAATGTGCTCGTTATCTCGCAACTTAGTTATAGTAATCAATTGTTATCCTAGTTCATTTGCATAGAGGATATATTTTTGTCAAGATATATAGCAATTTTTTCATTTTAGAAAAACAAAACATAATATCAACAATTGTATTTACACATTATTGAAAATCTCTTTGTAGACGAAATTGGTTATCGCAACACAATCTTGTCCATCCTCGTCTAGAGCTAACACTTTCAGGCCATCAGGATGGGTGACTAGGGGGAAAGTCACGTACAATTGTCCGTGATTAAAGACCGTTTTTTTAACAAATAACCCTACGTGAGTTAGTGTTTGGCCTTGTTTTTTGCTGATAGTCATGGCATATGCAAGTATCAACGGGAATTGTTTACGCTGGAACTTGAAGGGCAATCTCGTATCAGAAGGAGTGAGAAATAATCTGGGAATAAGGACTTTGGTTCCTTCATGAGTCTCATTAACTATTCTGCTTCGACAATGTGATCTGCCAATCTTGTGATGATGAGCCGCGTCCCGTTACAAACATCAAGAGAGTGGACTATGTTCCGCAATAACATAACAGGTACACTAACCTTTAATGTCAATGAATGATTAGGAAGACCCGACAATCTCAAACTATTTAAGAATTTATAAGTGTGTATTCTAATAGATTTTCATTGTCTGATTCTGCCTTACACAAAGAGTCACAACTTAAATATGTTTTCCTTCTGCAGTATTTATGTCGCACATGTACTGATTAATTTGATCAATGATATCTAAAGTCAGCGAGAGGATCGCTCGGCCTTCTAGCTGTGATCATCAAGCATGTCATATCTCGAGCTTGGTAATGTGCTTTCCACTATAGTTGCTATGGGATCATGTCCACACTTCAACAAAAACCGTGCCGAAATATCGATCTCAAATGAACCGCCGTTTACAACCTCTGCAATCCCATCTCCGATGTCTGTAATCCATTTTAAAAACTAATCAATCGTTTGTCTATCTTCCTCTTAAGCTAATGTCCGTAGTCTCAAGTTCTTTGTGAGCCTTAATACCTTGCAATTTGTCCACGGGTATGAAGAATTAATAGTTGCTCCGACAACTACTGGTCTTGTTACTTTCGGAATAACAGGTAGGATATATCTAAAATTGCCGCCCAAAACTATTGTCTTTCCACCAAAAGTCTTTTTAGCACTACCCAGTATGGCGAACCTCAATAGATCACTCATGGTTTTGTCAAAAGCCTCAAAACAGTGTTTGTGTCATTAGTGTTTCATCCCATATTATAAATTTGCTCATTATTATAAGCTCAGCAAGGTCAACGTCTTGCGATATATTGCACGTGGAATCTTCATCCAAAGAGAGTGGTATAGCAAATATGAAATGCGTTGTCCTGTCTCCCAACAAAAGCAAAGATGCTATTCCACTGGAAGCAACATTCAGAACTATATATATATATATATATATATATATATATATATATATATATATATATATATATATATAACATCCCAGACTATTACTTTTTGGACACTTTTAGTCCTTCTCATATTTTTTTCTATTTTTAGTAAGGGCATTTTAGTATTTTTATATTTTTCGTTTGTTATTTTTTTGATTTCAACTGGTTTAATTGGTTTAAAACTTTAGGTAATCTCTGATTTTTAGTAACCATATTTTTTAACCGGTTTTTAGTAAAGTCCTAAATCAATTAAAACGTTTGAAATTGAAAAAAATAACAAAAGAAAAATATGAAGAGACTAAAATGTCCTTACTAAAAATAGAAAAAATCATAAAAAGGACTAAAAGTGTCCAAAAAGTAATAGTATGGGATGTTAAAGGGCAAAAACGATAGTCTGGTACTAAATTTGAAATTGCCACCAAAGACAAGGGACCTCTGGTGGAATTAACTCTAATTAGTAATATACTTTTTAAAGTTTAGAGTACATATTCTCAATACTTTACAATACAACTCAAACCTATAATAGTCTATTAATAGTCAATATTCCCTCTTATGTTAGACAGTTATGTGGTTTTGGTTGTAGCGAGACTACAGTTATATTTTTTATGGTGCGTAGATACCGGGGATTGCTTCCCCTTTTGATGTTTTATGAGCTTAGAATCCAGTATTAGTAGTTTTTGTTTAGCCTGTGCAGTTATTCATGAGCGGGTAACTGTGGCGATAACATTTTCCCTCAGTTTATGTTTTGGATTCTATCATAGTGTATGTTAATCCTTTGACTTTATCCTAATTAGAATGTTTAATTTATGGGCTTTAGAGTTTAGAAAACGAGGTGTTACAGACATAGTTCTACATCATAATTTGCCACCAAAATGGGCAAATTATATCGTGCACCAGGGTGTACAATGCATTGTGCGTCCTGACCCAAAACGACGTCGTTTTGTTTTTTTTTTTTTTTTAGAAATTCCGTTTTCCGTTTCGGCAGTTAAATTCTAAAAAAAAAAAAAAAAAAAAAAAAAAAAAAAAAATCTTTGTTCCGTATGTACAGAATTGTATAATAGAATACACACAAGGTTGAAAAAATCGCAAGGCTCCCTCTATGCGCCTAGCGCCTAGGGTAATCGGTGCCCGTTTTATTTTTTGGAAAAATCACACTTTTGGTCCCTCAATTGTTCCCCAATCTGCAATGTGGTCCCTCACTGTCAAATTTATTCAATTGAGTCCTTCAAATCTTTAAACTGTAGTCAATTTGACCCTCCGGTCAAATTTCTCTCAAACTAGGGTTAAATCTTAGGACAAAATGGTAATTTCGCTTTACCCTCCTTACCACCATTCTTATTTACACGCGAGCAACAGCAGCGAGCAATCCAGCGAGGTCTGGGTCTCCTCCGGCAGCTTCCTTTTTCGTGAGCTGTGGCGACGACGGTGAGAGGTCGGGATAGCGGCTCCTCCGGCGAGCTGTGGCTACGACGGTGAGCAAACAACGCAACTCTCCTTCCGGCGACGAACGAGTAGCAGCGAAGATCAGAGACCATAGGTGGATGGATTCCTCGTCGATTTAGCCATTGCATGGAAGATCAGAGACCATAAGTGGTGTAGGCCTCAGACGATCAGGGCCGTGCGACGATGGATCCGATCATCGACGAAGTTATCCCGATTATCAGGGCCGCCGCCGATGGCTCTAACGAGAACGGAGTAGAAGTACTGGAAACCATCGCTGCAGCCGATGCGGCAGGGATGCTACTTCCAGGGCCGGTCCTATAGTTTTATAGGCCCGGGGCAAGTGAAATAAAGGGGCCCCAATACGATATTTAGAAGTTAATATAAATTTTTATAACTAAATTTTAAATGTTAGATACAAGTACAAAAATACTATTGTCAACTAAATTGAAATAAAATTTAAAAAATTTTAACATTTTACAAATACAATACTAATACAAAATTAATTATGACAAAAAACTTCTATGAGCTTTCCTAGATGCAAAGTCATTAATGACCTCTTCAAGACTAATATTGTCTAAGATATCATTCTCAATACACAATATTGCCAATCCATTTAATCTTTCTTGTGACATTGAAGATCTGAGGTATGTTTTCAATAATTTTAATTTTGAGAAACTCCTTTCAGCAGAAGCTACCGTCACGGGTATAGTCAATAGAATCCGATAAGCAATAAAAACCGTTGGGTAGCAATCTGCAACTTTAACAAATTCAAGAATCTCAATTGCTGACATCAACTTTTCTGGCAAAGTCATCTGTAACACTTTTAATTCAGAAAAAAAAAATCATTTGAATCAACATCGGACACATTGTTATGAGAAAAAGTAATTGCAAAATTATTACAACATTCAATTAATTCATTATTATCTAATGACTTCAATGTTTTTGAATCATACAAGAATCCAAAAATATTTTCAAATGTCTTTAATTGCTCAAATCTAGTATTCAATGAAGCAATTGTCATATCCACAACAATTAGAAAATAATTAACTCTAAAGGATTCCTCAGGTGATTGCATTTCTTCTTCATGATCATTTTCGTCAAATTGTTTTTTCCTAATAATACGATGTTTAATTGGAAATGTAGGATCTATATTCATCTCACATGCAATACCTTTGGCAATATCTATACTAGAAACAAATCCTTCATTTCTATACTTTTCAAAAAAATCTAGTACACCTTTAATTTGATTTTTAGTAGTTTCAATGCACATAGATTTTGATTGTAACATTTTACTTACCATGTTAATAGCAAATAAAATTTCATACCAAATAACAATTCCAAGTAAAAATTCAAAACTCTCAAGTGCACTAACCAAGCTATCCGCTTCACTCTTTGACTTGGCATCATCACAAGATTTAGTTAATTCTAACAAAGCTAACCTTATCTGAGGAGCTTGAAATCTAATAGCTTTGACACTTTTTATTCCATTCTCCCAACGTGTATTGCACAAAGATTTTACAGTTAGGTTTGAAACATTATCAAGTAAAACTTTCCATCTTTTAGGTGAACTTGAAAATAAAACATATATGTGTTGCATAACTCCAAAAAAATGAAACTGCTTTAATACAAGAATGTGTCATATCACTAACAGTAAGATTAAGACTATGACAAGCACATGGCATATACAATGCTCTCGGATTTATTTATAGTAATCGTTTTTAAACACCTCGGTGTTTTCCTTTCATATTAGAACCATTACCATAACCTTGACCTCTCACAT